CTATTTATCCTTTTCAGAAAATTTAATGAATTTTGGCATCGGTTTGTTAGAGCATTTTTTTGCATATTTTGTTCTTTACAGCATTTTTTTGCTTATTTTGCATTTTACAGCATATTCCCGCATATTTTACTCATAATCGCATATTTTTATTGCATATTTCGTTGTTTTCATCTAATTTTTTCATATTTTTTATAATTTTTAAATAAAAATAGATTCAAAATTTTTTTTGGGAAATTAATAAATAGAAAATGTTTTTAATTTTTTTATTAGATTTTTTTTAGAAAATTTTATTTAGAAAATAAAAGTTTAAATGAAATGTTTTTAATTCCACCAATCATAAATTTTTAAACCCATACGTTTTAATTAAATTCCTTCTAATTGATAAAATTTTGTTTGTCAAATTTTTTTGACCCATTCACTTTGAAAAAGATTGAAATAAAGCTTTATTTTATAATTCAATAACATTTTTATACCCTACACCACTATACTGGGGATGATATTATGCGTTTGTGCTGATGCTTGTAACACCCGAAAATCGGCTCAGAATCACTTTCCCCCGAATAGGGCCCTCGAGCTCATAATTATGTTAAATGTTTCAGGATCTCTACAAAAATCGGCACAACTTAGTTTCGTATTTTAACTTATACGAAACTGCCAATTTTCGTAATGATCGGACCTCATTTCACCCTTGCCCCCATACAAAGTCCCCTTCAGAAAAGGACATGAAAGTCAATAATTCACTTATAAACACTAATATCACGAGAAATTTTGCATTAATACTTCGACGAATGCCTGACAGTGGCAAAGAAAGTGCACCAGAGTTTTACTGTCCTCTAGTTAGTTTTAGACTTATTCCGAAACTTTATCGGCTTTGGTGGTGGCCTTAGTATTTTGAATCTTATGTACCGATGATCAGAAAAGGAGTGCTCGTCTGAAACTCTCCAATCCTGAATTTCGTTTATAAGCTCTTCTGAGCACTATAAAAAATGTCGTAGCAGTAAATTATCTCTTATAGTTCAGGAGATATTCGCATTTGAAAATTAAAATTTTAAAATTTTTACCGTCCTTACTTTAGTTTTTTGATAATAGCGGGTCCAAATATTCCCGATTTTCGCATTTTTTTTTTTATTCGCTTAACAACAAGTTTATATATCAAGCAGTGAAAGAATTATGTAAAAATCATGACTGAGTCCAAAGTTATAGTTTAAAAAATTTAATTTAAAAAATTAAAAAAAGGCGATTTTTTGTCATTTTTTTGGGGAAAAAGTATCTTTTTCTTTTTAAGTTATCTAAAAAGTTTCTAGGAAGATGTATATAGAATTTATACTTTTGACTTTACATAAAATACGATAAATGAATCAAAACCTAAAAATTTTTGATACCGAGGGGACCAGGTCCATCCAAAAAAACCCTATTTTTTATGAAAATTCAATTTTGAGACAAAAATTCTCAAATCGCATAGTCGATATCAAATTATAGTGACCTGTTTTATATGACCCAATATGTTCTTAATCATTTTGTAACGGGTTTCGATAACCCCGCCCCTGGTATGGATATAATAGGCAAAAAACCAAAAAATCCCATTTTTGGCATTTTTTAAAACTTTTTTGGGAATTCCGGGATTTCTAATAAGAAAATTCGAAATTTTTATTTAATTTTGGATTTTGAGTAAAAAAATCTACCTAACTGTAAAATTTCATCAAAAAATATTCATAAATAAAATTTTTATTGCAATTTGAAAAATTTGTATCTTCGCAAAAACTGAATAAAAAACATTTTTTAATTTTTTTTTTTAAAGTATTCCGCGAATTTTTTAATTTTCAAAAATTATATACAGATTTGAAAAAAATAGACAAAATTACTTCTCCATTGATATATAACATGCCTACCTAATGTTTTTTAAGTGACAAATTAATTAGGGAAAACTCAACATCTTTTAGAAAATTTACCTAGCACTATTATTTTCATCCATAAGGTTAACTCTTAAATTTGTTACATATATGGATGAAAATAATAGTGCCATGTAAATTTTCTAAAAGATGTTGAGTTTTCCGACGACATTTTTTATAGTGCTCGATGAGGAGATTCTAAATACGAATTTTTTTTTAAATCGGAACTCAAATGAAGAAATAGGATCGTTTTAAAAATTTAACATAGCCGATGTGTCCTAATTTGAGGACCCCCCGCCGGGCCCCTGGTTGGCCTATAAGGTCCAAATTCAAAACCTAAACTCGACAACACCTCCTCTTTGTGCATACCAAATCAAAATCGGATTAACCGTTTAGAAGTTACCGAATTATTTCCCTCTTTTTTTTTCCTATACCACTGTGCGTTGTTTTGTCTTTGTTTAAATATTTCGGAATTAAGGCCCCCTACTCACTGGTCGGCCATGCCCGACTATACATTCTTACTTGTTTGTTTTTCAAATATAAAAAAATAAATCAATTTAATGTAAAGCAAAAAAATTAAGCTTATATATCATTTCCTAGAAAATTACATAGCCAACAAAATTTTAAAAAAAGTCGAAACCCAGAGACCTAAGTTTACTTTTCTGAATTATTGAGCATCGCTTAATCCGAATCCAATTCTCCATGTTTTTGGCCATATTTAAGACCTTATAAATGCGAGAAGACACCTTCATTTATAAAATCCGTTGTGTGGTCCGAAAGTCCAATCTGTCGACTTTAAAATAAAGGTTGAACAAATTGAGGCAAATACGTTTGGCATAGAATAAAGGCAAAATTGAGTTTTTGTAATTTTATGGTTGTCCCAAGCTTTAAGTTAAGATATCTCGAAGAAATATAGAGATATGACAAGAGTTAAACCTTTATTTTTAAATCGACAGATTGGACTTTTTTATGTGCTCTCAAATATGGTAAAAAACGGGGATTTCATTTTGAAAATGAGAAGTTTTAAGTGCATATTCTGCATATTTTTAGAGCATATTTTTAGTTTTTAAGTGCATTTTTTATGCGCATAAAACACTTTTTTTAGAGCATATTTTTGGTTGCCCTGGTCATGACTATAGATCAGTCTATAATATTAACTATAGAGCATTCTATAGTCTTCACTATAGATCAGCCTATAGTCTTGACTATAGATCAGTCCATAGTCTTGACTATAGATCAGTCTATAGTCTTCACTATAGATAATTCTATAGTCTTGACTATAGATCAGTCTATAGCCTTGACCATAGATCAGTCGATAGTTTTGACTATAAATCATCCTATAGCGTTGACTATAGATCAGTCCAAAGTCTTGACTATATATCAGTCTATAGCTTTGACTATATATCTGTCTATAGTCTTGACTATAGATCAGTCTATAGTCTTGACTATAGATCATCCTATAGTCTTGACTATAGATCAGTCCATAGTATTGACTATAGTTCAGTCCATAGTCTTGACTATAGATCAGTTTACAGTCTTAACTATAGATCAGTCTATAGACTTAACTATAGACTAATCAATAAGCTTGTCTATAGATCAGTCTATAATATTGACAATAGATCATCATATAGTATTGACCATAGAGACATAGATCAGTCTATAGTCTTGACTATAGATCAGTACATAGTATTGACTATAGATCAGTCCATAGTCTTGACTATAGATCAGTCCATAGTATTGACTATAGATTATTATTATCTTGACCAAAAATCAGTCTATAGTCTTGACTATAGAGCTGTCGATAGTCTTGACCATAAATCAGTCTATATATAGTCTTGACTACAGAGCAGTCTTTGGTCTTGACTATAGATCGTTCTATATTCTTGACTATAGATCAGTCTGTAGATCAGTCTACAGTCTTGAATACAGATCGGTCTATAGTCTTTAATATAGGTCATATATTAGTCACTATAGTCACGAATATATATAATCCTATAGTTTTGACTATAGATCTGTCTTTAGTCTTGACTATATATCAGTCTATATTCTTGACTATAGATCAGTCTATATTCTTGTCTATAGATCAGTCTATAGTCTTGACTATAGATCAGTCTATAGTCTTGACTATAGATCAGTCTATAGTCTTGACTATATATCAGTCTATAGTCTTGACTATAGATCATCCTATAGTCTTGACTACAGATCAGTTTATAGTCTTGACTATAGATCAGTCTATAGTCTTGACTATAGATCAGTCTATAGTCTTGACTATAGATCAGTCTATAGTCTTGACTATAGATCAGTCTATAGTCTTGACTACAGATTGACTATAGACTGATCTATATGATCAACTATAGATCAGTCTATATTCTTGACTATAGATCAGTCCATTGTTTTGATTATAGATTAGTCTAAAGTCTTGAGTCAGTCTATAATTTTGACTATAGATCAGTTTATAGTCTATACTATAGATTAGTGTGTTGACTTTAGAGCAGTATAAAGTCTTGACTAAAGATCTGTCTATAGTTTTGACTATAGATACTGGAGATCAATCTACACTCTTGAGTATGGGTTAGTCTATAGTTATCACAGTCTATAGTCTTGACTATAGAGCAGTCTATAGACTTGACTATAGATCAGTTTATGACTGATTTCGTTGAAAATTTGTTTCTTTTTTGATTTCAAGCTTATTATTATGCTTAAGTGAGCTTCTCCTAGAAACATTAGAAAACATTAAGCTTTTGTTACAACACCAAATATAAAAACAAATTATAATTTCATTTTTATTTAACGAAAAAGCTTAATAAAACTTTTTGTTTTACAATTTACAAAATAAAACACTTTTAAGTTTTTTTTTAAGAAAATAAACAAAATTAAGCTTTTTTTAAAAACAAAATAAAACAAACTAACCAACAAACAAACAGTAAGAAAAACAAAAAAACGTATTGGGTCCACCCAAATCCCAGCCGTTACAAAATGAACTCTTAAATAAAGTTAATGTTGGGTATGTTTTACTTAAAATATATTAACAACAAGTAAAATTTTATAATTATATTTATTTTTGGTGAAATAAAAAAGAAACTTTGGCTAATTTACTTTTGATATTTGCAGGCATTCCTCTACTACAAGAAGACAGTCCAGTTCATCAGCCCGGCATATTTGCATTGCAATAAAAAAAAGCAGTTTTTGTTTTTCTAAATTATGTTTTAACCAGCAACACATTAACAAGAACAATATTATTGTAAAACAACAAAAAAAAAAACACAATAACAACACAAACACAAGTTTTCTTTCAAAAGCGTTTTTAAGCAAGAGAATAAAAAAAAGAAATATTTTTTATAAATGAAAAAAAAGCATTAAACCAAAAAAACAAATGTTAAACATTTTGTCACAATAATTTAAAAAAAGCAACTAATTTAATAAAATTTATTTGGGGAAAATCTTTCGTTAGAGATTTTTCTTAGAGAAAAAAGCTAAACAAAAAAATTAAGATACGTACTTTTTAGTTAAAGAGAGATTTAAGAATAGAACTCTTCCTAAAGCTAAATGTTTTAATTTAAAAGTTTATTGATGTTGTTATATTTATGTATTGATTGATTGAAAAAAAAGTTAGAAGAAAAAATTTAAATATAAAAAGTTAAATTAGTTTAATTATAGTTAAAACAAGTTTTTTAGTTTTAAATTTTGTTTAAGAAAAATTTATATAATTTTATGAGCTTAAAAAGTTAACTGATTTGTTTTCTTGTTAATTAATTTGTTATTATTGTTATTATTGCTCAAAAATAAGGCTAAAATTAAACACAGTTTTACTAACAAAACCAAAACACTCAGAATAAAACGCCAAAAACGTTTAAGCACAAATTAAACAGATTAACAACACTTTTTTATATAGGAAACACAACAATAACAAACACTAAAGCAGTTTAATTTACTACAAACACTCATACACACACACATACACTTATACTCCCCCCCATTGTCATTAACTCAGCCAACTCACACAATCAAACGGTTTAGAGGGATGCGTGATCAAGGTCTTAGACAACAACAACAACAAACAGAATAAAATCTAAACAAAAAAACAAAAATTTTTAAAGAAAACCCCCAAAAATCACTAAAAATTAACAGAAGAAAAACAGAGTAAAATTTAGCAAAAAATTACTCTTATAAATAAATAAAACAAATTAAACTAAATTTTAGCAAGAAAACAAAATAATAAATAAACAAAAATACTAGTTATTAAACAAAATAAATAAATTATAGAATTTTTAAAACAAATAATTAAATTAAAAATAAAACACAAGTATTTGGCTAAAACCTTTTTAGTTAAAAATAATAAAATCTAAAACTAACGAAAAAAAAATTTGTTGTAAAATAATCCCTTCTAAGAAAAAACAAAAATTAATAAATAAAAAGCTTTAATTTTTAACAAAAAAAATATATTATAAATAAACTACCGGATTACGCTTGGATTGCTTTTATTAAATCTCAAAAAAAAAACAACAAAAACTAAATTAAATTCAATTAAAAACAACCAAAAAAAAACGCTTTTTTAACATTTAACAACAAATTTTTAATAATTTTCCCCTCTTTCACACACACACATTAACACTTATTATATTCATATCTTAAACACACACACACACACATACACATTATTTTAATATTTTACCCAAAACAACAAAAAAAAAAAAAACTAAACGTCAGTCAACATGAAAAAGAGTAATACCGCCAATACAATATTGTCTTCATTGCCCACAAGTCCGACCATGTCGGCCCAAAGTTATGCTGGCAGTAAATCCAGTCTCAATAGCAGTCGCTCCAGTCGCTCTTCTATTAATATGCAAACGACCAATTCGAAAAGCAATAAGGTGGATCATGAAATCGAAACTATTTTAGAGAAGGCAAAATTTTATACTTCAGTATGTTTGGGTAAGTAGTGTTATTTTTAATAAATGTCTTTATATAAAGATCAGAGATCGGTAAGAAGAGCATATCCCTTAAAAACAATTTCATGCAAAGATTTCCCTTACTTCTGCGGGCTCTATGTGACGATCACTGATTTTCTTTAAAATTTCATTTCTATAATCTTTTCTTTTACTTTGATTTCAGGTACCACGGCAATTTTATCGGTTTTTACATTTCTATTTTTAATACCCTTTGTTGTTGATCCTGCTATATCGACCATAATTGCCGATTATGATCCGGTGCCGGTTACTTGTATTGTTATCGATCATGTCTATGCGGAGGGTATTAGAAATTGTACATGGAGCTCATGTCGGGAAGGCTGTACATCATCGCCGAACAAGTAAGTAAAAGTACAAAATTCGCAACTCCCGGTGTATAGACTGTAAACTGATCTACGGACAAGATTTTATAGTGATATACAGTCAAGATAGACTAAAATATTACCTATATTATAGACTTTTCTATAGTCGAGACTGATCTATTGTCAATTCTATAGACTGACCTATAGTCAAGACTATACATAAGACTATAGACTAATACATATTCAACACTATATATAGAATGATCCACAGTCAAGGCTATAAAGATGCTAGACTGATATATAATCAAGACTATAGTTTAATCTATAGTCGAAACTCGAGACTGATCTATAGTCAAAACTATCGACTAACCCATAGGTAAGACTATAAAGACTCTAGATCGATTTATAATCAATACTATAGATTGATCTATAGTAAAAACTCAAGACTGATTTATATTCAAGACTATAGAATGATCCATAGTTAAGACTATAGACTGATCTTTAGTTAAGCCTATATACTGAACTATGCTCAAGACTATAGATAGATCTATAGTCAAAACTATAGGCTGATCTATAGCCTATTGTCCATATAGTCTGATCTATAGCCTATTGTCCATATAGTCTGATCTATAGTCCAGACCATAGTCTGATCTATAGTCCAGACTATAGTCTGATCTATAGTCCAGACTATAGTCTGATCTATAGTCCAGACTATAGTCTGATCTATAGTCTGATCTATAGTCCAGACTATAGTCTGATCTATAGTCCAGACTATAGTCTGATCTATAATCCAGACTATAGACTGATCTATAGTCCAGACTATAGACTGATTTATTGTCCAGACTATAGACTGATCTATAGTCCAGACTATAGTCTGATCTATAGTCCAGACTATAGTCTGATTTCTAGTCCAGACTATAGTCTGATCTATAGTCCAGACTATAGTCTGATCTACAATCCAGACTATAGTCTGATCTATAGTCCAGACCAACGGTTCCCAAAAGGGGTTCCGCGGGCCCCTAGTGGTCCGTAGCAAAATCCTAGGGGGTCCGCGAAGACGAACGAAAAAAATCATAAATAAAAAATATTTTCTATTTAGAAAATATTAAAAATATCTCCAAATTTTTCATAAATACTAAAATACACAATTTTTATTCAATAATCCCAGATTTGTTGGTGACTTTTTGAATTTTATTGTTTCGGTCGTTTATCAGGATGATGCTAGGCCCTACAAATTTATTGTTTCACTTTTATAAAGTAAAATATTACGTGATTTGTAATTTTTATAAATGTATATGTATCGAAATAAATGTTTTTATATCAGACGGATAATGATTTGCCTTAGAATTAAATACTGATACTGGTATCCCGGAATATGAAGTTAGGTCACATTTCATAATATTTTTTTAAATTGTAAGCAAAACTGTTAATCTAGTTAATTTTAAATATAAATATTCCATTCCGACGTAATACACAGATTTTAACTTCATTTTGTTGTCCAATATTATTAAATCAACATCAGAAAGTTCATAGCGGTTTGCGTAAATAGTCAAAACCACGCAGTAAAATAATTCGTAGGTATTTTAAAATTCAAATTTAAGATCCAAATTCACAGTACATTCGCAAAGAGTTCAGGTCATATTTTATGTGGGTAACGCATTCCGCAACAACATCGAAGAAGTCTAACTTTCACGTATTTTCCTGAAAACTTAGCTTACATACTCAGCTCACTCCTATGCAATCGCAAACAAATTTAGAAACATGACTCTTTAAGCACATGTCGACAATACTTTATAAAGAGAAATAAACATGAAAGCTCTCATGATCATAAAATTAAACATCATGTTAGAATTCATTCTATATTTAAAACCATGCAATTGAAAACATCTCCGAAATACTAAATATTCTCAATGTACGGGAATATTTTATAGGGTTTATGGACCAGGACTAAGAGAATTTTCTGATGAACAATTATTTATAACAATAAGATATCAAAATATGTATGGGGGTCCGTGAAATTAAATAAATTTCTCAAGGGGTCCGCGAAGTAAAAAACGGTGGGAACCGCTGGTCCAGACTATAGTCTGATCTATAGTCCAGACTATAATCTGATCTATAGTCCAGACTATAGTCTCATCTATAGTCCAGAATATAGTCTGATCTATAGTCCAGAATATAGTCTGATCTACAATCCAGACTATAGTCTGATCTATAGTCCAGACTATAGTCTGATCTATAGTCCAGACTATAATCTGATCTATAGTCCAGACTATAGTCTCATCTATAGTCCAGAATATAGTCTGATCTATAGTCCAGAATATAGTCTGATCTATAGTCCAGACTATAGTCTGATCCATAGTCCAGACTATAGTCTGATCTATAGTCCAGACTATAGTCTGATCTATAGTCCAGACTATAGTCTGATCTATAGTCCAGACTATAGTCTAATCTATAGTCCAGACTATAGTCTGATCTATAGTCCAGACTATAGTCTGATCTATAGTCCAGACTATAGTCTGATCTATAGTCCAGACTATAGTCTGATCTATAGTCCAGACTATAGTCTGATCTATAGTCCAGACTATACTATCTAGTCCAGACTAGTCTGATCTATAGTCCAGACTATAGTCTGATCTATAGTCCAGACTATAGTCTGATCTATAGTCCAGACTATAGTCTGATCTATAGTCCAGACTATAGTCTGATCTATAGTCCAGACTATAGTCTGATCTATAGTCCAGACTATAGTCTGATCTATAGTCCAGACTATAGTCTGATCTATAGTCCAGACTATAGTCTGATCTATAGTCCAGACTATAGTCTGATCTATAGTCCAGACTATAGTCTGATCTATAGTCCAGACTATAGTCTGATCTATAGTCCAGACTATAGTCTGATCTATAGTCCAGACTATAGTCTGATCTATAGTCCAGAATATAGACTGATCTATAGTCCAGACTATAGACTGATCTATAGTCCAGACTATAGACTTATAGTCCAGTCTATAGACTGATCTATAGTCCAGACTATAGACTTATTTATAGTCCAGTCTATAGACTGATCTATAATCCAGACTATAGACTTATTTATAGTCCAGTCTATAGACTGATCTATAGTCCAGACTATAGACTGATCTATAGTCCAGACTATAGACTGATCTATAGTCCAGACTATAGACTGATCTATAGTCCAGACTATAGACTGATCTATAGTCCAGACTATAGACTGATCTATAGTCCAGACTATAGACTGATATATAGTCCAGACTATAGACTGATCTATAGTCCAGACTGATCTATAGACCAGACTATAGTTTGATCCATAGTCCAGACTGTATACTGATCTATAGACAAGACTATAGACTGATTGATAGTCCAGATTACAGACTGATCTATAGTCCAGACTATAAGCTGATCTATAGTCCAGACTATAGACTGATCTATGGTCCAGACTATAGACTGATCTATAGTCCAGACTATAGACTGATCTATAATCCAAACTATAGACTGATCTATAGTCCGGACTATAGACTGATTTATAGTCCAGACTATGGACTGATCTATAGTCCAGACTATAGACTTTTTTATAGTCCAGAATATAGACTGATTTATAGTCTAGACAGATGGAAAAGTGATATGTAGTTAACTATAGACTGATCGATAGTCAGTAATTAAAGTATTTTTTTGAAATGGATCATTAGGGATGTTTATCAATTATTTATCTCCATTAATTTTCTCTTTATAGGTGTCATCAACTATACGTAAATTATACCCGTATACCATTCGCTGAATGGCAGAAAAATCCACGTGATTTAGAGACCGTTGTATGGGATGTAAGCTATACGAAATTTTTAATCAATTCCGAAGGATGTGGTTATCCACCAACTACCAATTGTAGTGTATTTGCCAGACAATATGGGTAAAAATAAGCTCTAACCAATATCTAAATAACTTTTTCGAAACTATTTCGATACTAACAATTTTATTTTTAACACTAGGTATAATCACATCAATGAACCATTCGCTTGCTACTATAGTCGTGCCTATCCCGAGGTGGTTATTGGTCGTTATTCGTGGGAGAATAATCTTTATCATCTAATATTATCGCTGATAATACCCACAGTATTATTTGCCATATCGATTGGGGTCTTAAGCTATTGGTATTGTCCGTGTTGTGATAATGCCTGTAATAAATCATCAAGGGTTTATGCTGAAAAATTCCCCACTAAGGAAGAGTGAGTGTGCTAAAATAATTATTAGAAAACTACTACATACTATTTTAATGATCTACTACTACTACTACTACTATTATTATAACTCCTATACTCGTTTACATAAACACACAGTTTTATTGTTCAATGTTTAAATTTATATTAACAAAGATAAATGTAGTTTTTATTTTGTTTACTTTATTATGAAATCTCTATTTTTTTCAAGAGTTATAGTTCAAGAGATATATGTTTTTGATTTTGTTTGATGTTTTGAATGTTTGTATTGAATTTAATTAAATAAATTGTTAAATTAACAAACAATGTTATTGAAAAGCATGCTTGATGAAATTTGTAATTGGTGGAGTTGTTGGAAAAAATTTTAAAAAAGCTGCGAGCCATGCTTTTAAGTTTGTTAGTGAGAGTTGTAGTAAAATAGCTTTTTCTTTTATTTAATATTTATAAAAATTGGTCTATATTTTAAGTTCAAAAATGCTGTAAATTTTAAATGCATGTTTTTGTTTAAGTTTTATTATTAGATTTAATTGGTTTTAAGAAAATTTGTTATAATTTTAAAGCATTGGCTTTGTAATAAAAAAATGATTGCTAAAAGCTTTTTTTTATAATTAGTAAAATTTAGTTAAAAGTGTTTCTTTTTGAGATAAATACTTTTTCCTATTTATTTTTTTATTTAAAGAAAATTTCTTATATTTAATAAAAATAAAATATCTACTATATTTCCTAATAACTTTTTTTATATTCATATATATAAAAAACAACCTACATACTTTTTTACAGGATTGCAAACTGCATGAAATGTAATCCGGAAAAATCTATTTCCCTGAATAGTTATTGAATTCTTTAAGAATGTTTAAGTAACAAAAAACTTAAATTACAAGTTAAAATCTACACACACACACAAATAACTAGAGAAAACTTAAAATGCCTGAAAAGTGCCTGAAAACCGTTTGAATTTAAAGAATAAAAAACCAAGAAAAACAAAACTGAAAATACTGAAACATGTTAACAAGTAAAAATTCCTTTTTTTCCTCTCTTATAATACTATAAACAAATATCTATATATTTACACTTACTTTATAAATTATTTAATAAAACAAATGTAGCTTTCGAATAATCGTTTTAAACTTTCAAAATTATTTAAAACTAAAAAAGCACTAAGAGAAAATCCAACTCTGTTAGGAAGAGTTACACCTATATACTTTTTATATAAAAATTTTATTTTAGAAATGAAACCCGAGGCACAAAACTATTTTGTAGTAGTTAGTGTTCAAACACTCCCTTTTTTCCTCCCCTATTAATTAATGCTAGTTTCTCCTTAAACACACTTCAAAATAGCTGTAATTTTACACTTAGAAATTATTGAGTTTTACACAAATCGATTAAATAGTCTTAGAAATGTGTTTTTATACTAAAAAAAAAATGTAGTTGGTAGTTAGTACGTTACTTATTGCATACTTTTGTAGAAAGTTGAAGGAACTAAATTGATCTTGAAATGTGAAGACTATAGACTGATCTATAGTCAAGAGTATAAATTGATCTATAGTCAAGACTGTAGACTGATCTGTAGTGGAGACCATATACTGATCTATAGTTAAGACTATAGACTAATCTACAGTAAAGGGTATAAATTGATCTGATAATATAGACTGATTTCTAGTCAAGACTGTAGACTGATCTATAGTCAAGACTATAGACTGATCTATAATCAAGACTATAGACTGATCTATAATCAAGACTATAGACTGATCTATAGTCAAAACTATGGACTGATCTATAGTCAAGACTATAGACTGATCTATAGTCAGGACTATAGACTGATCTATAGTCAAGACTATAGACTGATCTATAGTCAGGACTATAGACTGATCTATAGAGACTGATGTATAATCAATACTATAGACTGAGCTATAGTCAAGACTATATACTGATCAAGACAATATACTGATATATAGTCAAGACTATAAACTGGTCTATAATCTAGACTATATACTGATCTAAAGTCACGACTATAGACTGATCTATAGTCAAGACTATATACTGATCTATAGTCAAGACTATAGACTGATCTATAGTCAAAATTATAGAAATATCTATTGTTTAGACTATAGACTGAACTTTAATCAATTCTATAGACAGATCTATACTTAAGACTATATGCCGATCTATAGTCAAGACTATGGGCCGACTTATAGTGCAGACTATGGGCTGATCTATAGTTAAGATTATACTCAAGACTATAGAATGATCTATACTCAAAACTGTAGACTAATATATAGTCAAGACTATAGATTGATCTATTCTCAAGACTATAGACTGATATCTAAAGTCAAGACTATAGACTGTGCTATAGACTGATCTAAAGTCAAGACTATACACTTTATCTATAATCAAGACTATAGACTGATAAGTAGTCAAGACTACAGTCTGATCTATAATCAAGACTATATACTAATCTAAAATCAACACTATAGACTGATATATAGTCAAGACTATATACTGATCTATAGCGAAGACTATGGACTGATCTATAGTCAAAACTATAGACTGATCTTTAGTCAAGACTATAGACTGATTTATAGTCAAGACTATAGACAGATCTATACTCAATAATACGGACTGATCTATAGTCAAGAATATGGACTAATATATAGTCAAGACTATAGACTGATCTATAGTCAAGACTATAGGCTGATCTGTAGTCAAGACTATAGACTGATCTATAGTCAAGACTATAGTCAGATCCATAGTCGATAATCAAGACTATAGACTTGTTGATCTATAGTTGATACTATAGAATGATCTGCAGTTAAGAGTATAGACTGATCTATAGTCGACTATAGACCGATCTGTAGTGGAGACCATTTGTTGATCTATAGTTAAGACTATAGAATGATCTGCAGTCAAGTGTATAGACTGTTGACAGATGTATAGTCATGAGTTTAGACTGATCTATAGGCATTACTATAGATAGATCTATATTCATGACTGTAGACCGATCTGTAGTGGAGACCATATGCTGATCAATAATCATGGACTGATCTATAGCAAGGACAGCAGATTGAACTTTAATCAGGACTATAAACTACAAGGCTGTAGACAAGAATGTAGACTGTTTTATAACTGATGGATAATAAAGTCTGTAGAGTGATTTGTAGTCTATAGACTGATCTATATTCCAGATTATCAACTGACATATAATCCAGACCATAGATGCGTCTATTGTAAAGTCAACAGACTGATCTATAGTCAAATTATAGATTGAAATATAGGTTATATTATTTTCCTCAATTAACACTCACTTTTCAAGAACTTTAGAAATGCTAAACCAAATCCCCCCTTCAAAATCCCATACCTTATAGAAAATGGCATGTGTTTTTCTTGACAAATCATTTGCAAACACATTATCAAACATACTACATACAAATACTCATATTACAGTAGTTAACAAAGATAGTTTTGGATATTAGTTTCGAAAATGAAATGCATGTTTTATAAATGTAAACGTAATTAATTGAATGATAATTTTCATAATTATACTAGTAATTTTCTTTAAAATATACTTTTGACAACAAATAATAAACTTTTCTTAAAATAAAAAGCTTTATTTTATTCAAATTCATAACAATTTTTAGAATTTTAAAACTAAGACACTTAATATGGAAAATGCATTTGGCATATAAATTTTTTAAAATTTAAATAAAGTGTTGTTTTTCAATTTAAGTGGTTTTAGTTTTAAATAGAATTTTTAAAAAATTCACCAAAAAACAATTCGTTTTAATTTTTGTTCTTTTATTTTTCTCACCCTTCAATAAATTTTTTTTCGTAGAAAACTACTGTGTCACAGTGATGATGAGGATGAAATGGAATACTAGATTTAAAAAAATAAATATATTTTTATAAAGCAAAAAATTATATTTTGAAAAGAAAAAAAAGCACTTAACAGAAAAAGAAACACCCAAATTTAAGTTTTATTTAAATTCAAAATCATATACACATAAACACTCAATATTTTTTCTTTCACAATTTTTGTATAAAATTTCAAATTTTAATAAAATTCAATTAAAATTTATTGCAAAATTTTAAAGCAAACTTTTGTTTTCTTTAAATTTTGAAATAGATTTTAGTGATTTGATTGTAATCTTCAACGAAAATAGTTTAATAAATTTATTTTCATTTTATGGTTTTATTAAATTTATTGTAATATTTTTAAAGGATAAATTTTGTAAATTATATTCTTTTATCATTTTGTAAATTATGTATTTGTAATTTTTAGTTTTAGAAGTAATGGATTTAAGTTTTTTAGGATTTGTAAAAAATTATTAATTTAAAATAGTTTTTAGTTAAATTTTTAAAATGATTCTAGCTTAGTATAAACATGGCAGTCATTTTTAAAACACTATGGTAATCGAGAAATTTTAAATTCAAACCAATAAGCTGATCAATACTTAATAATGATCTATAGTCAGGGCTATAGACTGATCTATTGTCAGGGCTATAGTCTAATCTATAGTCAAGGCTTTCGACTGATCCATAGTAATAACTATAGTCAAGACTATTTACTGATCTTAAGTCAAGTCTATAGAGTGATCTATAGACAATACTATATACTATTCTATAGTCAAGACTCTAGACTGATCTATAATCAAGCGTGCATACTGATCTACTGAAAAGACAATAGACCGAAATATTGTCAGACTACAAACTACAGACTGATCTATAGCCAAGACTTTAAACTAATATATACTGAGACATTTAGAGTGATCTGAAGTCAAAACTGATATATACTGAAGCCAATCTAAGGTCAATACTATGGGTTGATATATAGTCAAGACTATAATAGACTGATCTATAGTGAAGCATATAGAGTGATTTATAGTCAAGACTATAACTGAGCTTTAGTTAAAACTATGGACTTATCTAAAGTTGAGACTATGGACATATTTATAGTCAAGGGTTGGTGTCCAATTTCGACAAAAGAATGATCTCTAGTCAAGACTATATGCTGATCTGTAGTCAAAATTGTAAACTGTTCTTATAGTATAGACTGATGAATAGTCAAGAGTACCGACTGATCTATAGTCAAGACTATAGACTGATCTTTAGTCAAGACTATAGACTAATCTTAAGTCTAGACTATAGACTGATCTTTAGTCAATATTATAAACTGATATATAGTCAGGACTATAGATTGAGCTTTAGTTGAAACTATGGACTTATCTATACTTAAGACTATGTATATTTATATTCAAGACTATAGACTGATCTATAGTCAAGACTGTAGACTGATCAATAGCCAAGACAATATGCTGATCTGTAGTCAAAACTGTACACTGATCTTATAGTATATACAGATGAATAGCCCAGATTACCGACTGATCTATAGACTGATCTTTAGTCAAGAATATAAACTGATCTATAATCATGACTATAGACTGATCTATTGTCAAGACTGTAGAGTGATCCATAGTCAAGATTATAGACTGGTCTACAGGCAAGACAATAGACTGATCTATAGTAAAAGTCTGTTATAGTCTATAGTAGACTGCTAACAGAAAAATGGCAAGACTACAGCTAATCTATAGTCCAGACTTTACAATTTCTAAGAGATTCTAGACTGATCGGTAGTCAAGACTAATCAAAATATGAGTGATCAATATGCAAGACTACAGGATGAATTTTATAAGAACTTGTCTGATCAATATAGTTAAGACTACAAGATAATAGGCAAAACTCTAGAATGATCTTTAGTAAAGACCATAGACTAAACTACAGCCAAGAATATAGACTGATCTAAAGTCGATACTATAGGATGAATATAAAACTACAGCCTCAGCAGTAGTCAAGGCTGTCGACTGTCCTAAAGTCAAGATTATAAACAGTTCATTAAAATCAGTTACAGTGATCCTTAGTCCAGACTATAGAATTATAGTCAGGACTGATTCGATGTTGATTCGGTTGCCATAGTTAGTTCTCAGAAAACAAAAATCTGATCATCTTTATTAGCCATTATACAACCTTAGTTTGAAACTAAACTCTTACTGAAAAGAAATTTGTATTTGTTAAATATTTTAGTTTTTCATAATCCCTGAACTAGTGATTTCTAAGTAGCGTTGTTTTATTACGAGTTGTCTAATTATAAAATCGTATATAATTACATAATTTAAAAGCAAAATTAAAAAAAAAAAAAAACAAATAAATAAAATTGTGATATCATTATTTTAGTTGTGTAATAATTTTATAAAAATTCTACTAAAATTAAAATAAATGTTAAAAATGGCTTCTACAATTTAGCAAAAAATATTAAAAAAAAACTCAAATTATGAAAATTATTCTTAAAAACCAACTACCAACTAATAAACAATTTAAGTTGTAGTAACTATTAAAAGCATTTTAAAACCAACAACAACAATAACAACAATTAATATTGTATTAAATAATTAGAACAAATTAAATTATATTATAAAATAAACAATTAAAATAATTAATTAAATTAACAAACACAAAATTTGTAATATACAAACAAAAAAATGTAAGAAATAAAAAACACACAAAACATTAGTTAATTATAAAGAAAAATAATTAGTTTTTAAATAATTAAAACCAAGAAAAAAAAAAGAAAATTAAGAAAAGCAACAAAATTTTAATACAATTCAAAACAAAATTATATAAAATCCGCCTTGTGCTTAAATAAAATTTTTATAACAAAAAAAATCCCAATCATTATTAAACAAATTGGAAAAAATCTAAAAATAACACAATTTTACCCGAAATTTTTTAAAAATTTCATTTTAAACTACCATAATAAAAAATTCCAAATTTCTTTAAAGCTTCTCTAGACAAAAAAAAAATAATTAAAACAGAATAAATTTTTATTTAAAAAAAAACTCATTTATTACATCAAAGTTATTAAAACAAATTTCTACATTAATTAAAAATTTATATTTGCACTTGCTTTTTTTAATTAAAAATAACAAAAAATATTCATTGAAATCTTTTTCCAAAATCAAAGAAAATCAAACACAAAAATAAAACTTTTTTCTGCTAAAACAACCAATAAAAAACAACGAAAGAAACAACAACAAAATCTCTTTTTTTGAATATTTAAACAATCAATAAAACAGCAACAAAAAGAATAACAACAAATGTTTCATGTTTTTAATAAAAGAAAACAAAAACTGGAAATTATTAAAATAAAACAAATTGAAAATTGTTCAGTGAAGTTTTATTTCGGGGGGGAGAGAGAGGGAAACAAATGCGGTGTATTTGTTGTTACTATAGACCGATATATAGTCAAGACATTAGACCGATCTATACTCATGACTATAAACTGATCTATAGTCAAGACTATAGACTGATCTATAGTCAAGACTATAGACTGATCTATAGTCAAGACTATAGACTGATCTATAGTCAAGACTATAGACTGATCTATAGTCAAGACTATAGACTGATCTATAGTCAAGACTATAGACTGATCTATAGTCAGGACTATAGACTGATGTATAGTCAAGACTATAGACTGATCTATAGTCAAGACTGATCTATAGTCAAGACTGATCTATAGTCAAGACTATAGACTGATCTATAGTCAAGACTATAGACTGATCTATAGTCAAGACTATAGACTGATCTATAGTCAAGACTATAGACTGATCTATAGTCAAGACTATAGACTGATGTATAGTCAAGACTATAGACTGATCTATAGTCAAGACTATAGACTGATCTATAGTCAAGACTATAGACTGATCTATAGTCAAGACTATAGACTGATCTATAGTCAAGACTATAGACTGATCTATAGTCAAGACTATAGACTTATCTATAGTCAAGACTATAGACTGATCTATAGTCAAGACTATAGACTGATCTATAGTCAAGACTATAGACTGATCTATAGTCAAGATTATAGACTGATCTATAGTCAAGATTATAGACTGATCTATAGTCAAGACTATGGACTGATCTATAGTCAAGACTATAGACTGATCTATAGTCAAGACTATAGATTAATCTATACTCAAGACTATATACTGACCTATAGTCAAGATTATAGACTGATCTATAGGCAAGACTATAGACTTATCTATGGACATGACTATAGACTGACTTATAGTCAAGACTATAGACTGATCTATAGCCAACCCTATAGAATAATCTAAAGTCAAGAATATAGACTGATCTACAGTCAAGACTGTAGATAGATCTATAGTCAAGACTATAGACTATTTAATTGTAAAGGCTATAGACTGATCTATAGTAAAAATCTACTGACCTATAGTCAAGACTATAGAATGATCTATAGTAAATACTATAGATTGCTCTATAGTCAAAACTGTAGACTGATCTGTAGTTCAGACTACATACTGGTAGTCAGTACTATAGAGAGATCTATAGTTGAGACTATATACTGATTTATAGTCAAGTCAATCGATTGATCTATAGTCAAGATTAAAGATTTATATATAGTAAATAATATAGACTGATCTATAGTCAAGACTATAGACTGATCTATGGACAAGACTATATATAGACTGATCTATAGTCAAGACTAGACTGATCTAAAGTCAAGACTATAAACTGATCTATAGTCAAGACTATAGACTGATCTATAGTCATGTCTATAGACTGATCTATAGTCAAGACTATAGGATAATCTATAGTAAACACTATAGTCAAAACTATAGACTCATTTAAAGTCAAGACTACAGACTGATCTATAGTCAAGATTATACACTGATCTATATTCAAGGACTATAGACTGATCTATGGACAAGACTATATATAGACTGATCTATAGTCAAGAATATAGACTGATATATAGTCAAGAGTAAAGACTGGTCTATAGTCAAGACTATAGACTGATAGTAAATACTATAGACTGATCTATAGTCAAAACTATAGAGTGATCTATAGTCAAGACTATAGACTGATTTAAAGTCAAGACTACAGACTGATCTATAGATTTTTATTCAAGATTATAGACTGATCTATGGACAAGACTATATATAGACTGATCTATAGTAAGGACAATAAACTGATCTATAGTCAAGTCTATATTATTGAATTATATGCAAGACTAGAGATTTATATATAGTCAAGGCTATAGATTGATCTGTAGTCAAGACTATAGATTGATCTATAATGTGGTCTTCGTTTGTAGAAAATTTTAAGTCTGAGACAGATGGTTGCTATGATTGCATTAATTATTCAAATTGAACCGGCCTAATGTAGATTGTATACTTGGCAGCACTGCCATATTCCTTATCTAGCAATTGCTTGACAGCTGAGTTTATTTGACCTGTTGGGTCGTGTTGTGTATTTATGTTTTGCTAATTTAATTTTATTTTGCGTTGTAAATAACATAATTAAAGTCTTAATATTTTAAATTATATTTTTTTTTTTTTTAAAAAGCACATGTATGTATGTAGTTAAAGTAAATAAAATCGAATTGTAAGTGTAAATTTGGATTTTTATGAAAAATAAAATTTATAGAGAAGAATCGATTAAGTTGGCTTTTAAGTAAAATATTGGTGGTATTTTATTTTGGTAAAAAAAAAATTTTTCGTGAAAAATTAAATTTTTGGACCAAATTGTCTGTCTGTCCATTAAAAGGGTCAGAAACTAAAAGCTGAAATTCGCCTTAATAGAAGGCTAGACTCTTAATAAACGACTTTCAAAACATTCCCTCCTATTTCCCATAAATAACTTGGTACCGCCAAAAGGAAACAAAGGAAAAAACAACAAGAAAATTAGAACTACAACTTTGTTTTGTCAACATTTGTGTACTCTGACCTACAAACATATAAACGAGTTGTTCAACGACACACATGGCGTCGACCTCCAAAAAGGATACAACGCATGCCGCCGCTTCATACAATTCCTTCCAATTTATTACTTTTTTCTTTAAAACTTATTTCTGATAAGTAAATAACAAACTTACAGAGGAAGTTGTCAAAATAAGTTTAAAAAAAGCACATGCGCTTTTCTCAACTCAAAGCAAAACAAAAAAAACATTGACAGAAGTCCTTAACAAAGGATAACGTCATTTTGTAGACAAACAAATGACATTGGAAGGCAACACGAAAAAGCTTTTTATTAAAGCTTTTAAAAGCTTGCTTAACATCAAAAATGTCCTTTATTTGCTTTAAAAGAAAACGGGAATAACATTTTGAAAGTAATCAGTTTGCCAGAACAACGCTCTTAAAGCAGTAGTATAATCCGAAAGTGGACGCTAACCGAGCATCCTTACACACACGCACATACTTACATACATACATATATATTTCTTTTTGTTGAGTTTAATAATTATTCTCATGGAAAAAATCATAAAAAAAACACAACGCATTTAAAGAAATATAAACAATTTTAAATAAAATTATTTGTAAACTTTAAGAATAAAAACAAATAAACAAATTATTAAACAAATTGCCTTAAAATTAAACAACAACAGCAAATAATGTTTACAACTATAAAGTAACTAAATGTTTAATAAAATGTGTATAAAATATTAAAAATAAAACGAATTTAATTTAAATTGTTTTTAAGCGAAAAAATTAATAATAAATATGGGAAACAATAGAAAACCACAGTAAAATTAAAATAATTATTATAAACTTTTTATTAAAACATAAAGAAAAAAGTGTTAAAAATTAATATAAACTAATAAAGTAAAACTCAACAAGTCATAAATATTTTAGGGAATTTAAAAAACTGAAATAAATTCTATTACTCATCGACTATTTTACCAAAAAAAAGAACACAAAAAACCTAAAAAAACGTCCTTAAAACAATATAGGAAAATAACAGGAATTTAAGGCAGCAACAAAAACAACGACCATAACAAGAAATTAATAAAAAAAAAAAAAAAACAAAAATACAATAATATAAAAAAACAAGAAATATACAAGAATTTTAAACACCAACATAACTTAATACTCGGTAGCGTGGAAACATTCACTGCTGCTGTTTCCCCCTCAAAAAAAAAAAAAAAAACACTCAAACTCTAATACACAACAATCTACCCTTCCCACTAACACTCCCTCTCTAATACACACAGGGATTCTTAAAGTTTTGATAACAGAACACCAAACCAAGCAACGACAAACAGCTTTAATCATAAATAATGGGTCGCCGCAAGGATAAACCACGCCTTATCCCCGAGCAAGATAAACGTATCTGCCGTGCTATTTGCCTTTGCCAATTGACCATGGTTTTATCCTGCGTTTCTATAGTGTATTTAAGTGTGGCCATTTATGCTCCTTCATTTAAGTAAGAAACAAATTGGAATTTCGAACTTTTTATAACCTACACCTGATGTTTATAACCCATAAAATTAATGGTCTTACAACATGCTATGTATAATTTGCTGAGTCGCTTAAGACTAGACTTTTGACTAGTATATGGACTATCCTATATGCTGGTCCATAGAATGGCCTTTTAGCTTTTCTATGTACTAGCCTATTGGATAGTCTATGGACTAGTATATTGAATATCCTATTTACTATCGTATTGAATAGTCTATGGACTATCCTACTTACTAGTCTCTGGACTGTCCTATTGACTAGTCTATAGACTATCCTATTGACTAGTCTATAGACTATCCTATTGACTAGTCTATAGACTTCCTGTTGACTAGTCTATAGACTATCCTATTGACTAGTCTATGGACTATCCTATTGCCTAGTCTATGGACTATCCTATTGCCTAGACTATGGACTATCTATTGGTTAGCCTAATGACTAGTCTATGGACTAGCCTAATGACTAGTCTATGGACTAGCCTATTGACTAGTCTATGAACTGTCCTACTGGCTAGTCTATGGACTATCCTATTGACTAGTCTATGGACTATCCTATTGAATAGTTTATGGACTATCCTATTGACTAGTCAATGGGCTAGCCTATTGACTAGTCTATGTACTAGCCTATGGACTAATCTATGAACTAGCCTATTGACTAGTCTATGGACTAGTCTATTAACTAGTCTATTGACTATCCTACTGACTAGTCTATGAACTAGCCAAATGACTAGTTTATGGACTAGCCTAATGACTAGTCTATGGACTATCCTATTGACTAGTCTATGGACTAGCCTATTAATTAGTCTATGGACAAGCATAATGACTAATCTATGGACAAGCCTAATGATTAGTCTATGGACTAGCCTATTGACTACTCTATTGACTGGTCTATGGACTAGCCTATTAATTAGTCTCGCCTAATGACTAGTCTATGGACTAACCTATTGACTAGTCTATGGACTAACCTATTGAGTAGCCTATGGACTAGATTATTGACTAGTCTATGGACTAGCCTAATGACTAGTCTATGGACTATCCTACTGACTACTCTATGGACTATCCTATTGACAAGTCTATGGACTAGCCTATTGCATGTGGACAGCCTATTGACTAGTTTATGGACTAGCCTATTGACTAGCCTATGGACTAGATTATTGACTTGTCTATGGACTAGCCTATTGATTAGTCTGTGGACTATCCTACTGACTAGTCTATGGACTAGCCTATTGACTAGTTTATGGATTATAATATTTACTAGTCTATGGACTAGTAAATGAACTAGCCTAATGACTACCATATGAATTGTATATGGACTAGCCTATTGAATGGTCTATGTCATAGTAAATTCTTTGAGAATAGACCAATTATTTTTTGTCCTTTTTTATAGCAGGTGTAGGGTATAATAATGTCGGTCATAACCATCTATATTTTCTGCCATGTTTCAATAAAATTTTGTAAATTATTCTTACTTCTTTCGTGTTTAAAGAGCTTTCAAATCCGGTTTTGAATTGGATCCGGTCATGTGTCAAACTATACAATCGGATATGCCTGACTCACATTGTAGTTGGGCTTCTTGCGGAGAATGGTGTTTAACACGTACCAGTGGTTTTTGTCCTCAAATCTATTCAATCGTGCGTCGTAATGGAACCGATATCCAGTTGAATAATTGTACTCGTATTACAAATACTTCATGTGCAATGGTAAGTAGTTCTTTAGGAAAGTTTTTTCCATGTTACTACTTTTTTTTTTAGCTTGAATTAATACAGTGTTAGACAAAAGTTTCCAGCAGATATTTTCATTTTAAAACTAAAGTCTCAAAGGTTTTGTATCTTCAATAGACTGTAGTGTAAAAGGGTACTATAGTGTTGAGTATACTATTGACAAAATTTTGGACTATACTTATGTTATAGATAGAACTATAGACTAGACTATAGTTTGGAATTTAATGTAGACTATAGTTTGGAACATAGAGTATAGTCTGCTTTAGAATATTTAATAATCTACACTATAGAAAATTTTATTTTATTCATCTCCCTAAAGTTTAATGCCCTTCAGTTGCCTATCTAATCAATTTGTAAAAAACGTAAAATATTTATACTAAAACTTTAGCCTACACATATTCTAAATAAGAAAAATGCCAAAAACAAACCCAACGCCTACGTTAAGTACAACTAAATAATCAAACTTAGACCTTTTTTGATGCCATTCCACGTATTGAACTTAAAACATTATTAAGCTATATTTTATTTATAATATAAAGACAAACAAACTACGTCGAACCATTATATAATTTATATATTTGCTATTGCAAATGAAATGGGAATAGTAGGTTAAGCAAATCAAACCATAAACTCACATTACATACGCTCTCTCTAAATAGTTGAATAGTTTCAAACTTACAAACAAATAAGCAAACGAATCAGAATATAAATATCAACAATACTATATCAAAATAACAAAAATAAAAAATGTAAATGTTTGTACTCGTATTTCCAAGAAAACATGTCTTTCAGTCATGTCAACATCCTCTCTGTATCCTTGTATCAGATTCTATGCTCCAACTGCCAGCAATGTTGAATTACTCATACATGCATATTTGAGTGGTATTGTCAATGCAGGCATTTTGAATAAAGAGAATTAGAGTTACCATTCTTGCTTGATTTCGAAAATAACAAAAGCAAAAAAAAAAACATGTTTCGGAATATAGTTTGGATCATAGTTCAGATTAAGATTCAATAGAGAAGACTATAGTCTGGACTATAGAGTAGGCTATAGTCAGGACTATAGAGTAGACTAAAGTCTGGTCTATAGAGTAGACTATAGTCTGGACTATAGAGTAGACTATAGAGAAGACTATAGTCTGAACTATAGAGTAGGCAATAGGCAGGACTATAGAGTAGACTAAAGTCTGGACTATAGAGTAGACTATAGCCTGAACTATAGAGTAGACTAAAGGTCTGACTATAGAGTAGTCCTAGTCGGACTATAGAGTATCACTATAGTCTGGACTATAGAGTAGACTATAGTCTGGACTATAGAGTAGACTATAGTCTGGACTATAGAGTCAGACTATAGTCTGGACTATAGAGTAGACTATAGTCTGGATATAGAGTAGGACTATAGTCTGGACTATAGAGTAGACTGAAGTCTGGACTAAGAGTAGACTATAGTCTGGACTAAGAGTAGACTATAGTCTGGACTATAGAGTAGACTTAGTCTATACTATAGAGTAGACTATGGTCTGAGACTATAGAGTAGGACTATAGTCTGGACTTCTAGAGTAGACTATAGTCTGGACTATAGAGTAGACTATAGTCTGGACTATAGAGTAGACTATAGTCTGGACTATAGAGACACTATAGTCTGGACTATAGAGTAGACTATAGTCTGGACTATAGAGTAGACTATAGTCTGGACTAGTATATAGTCAGGACTATAGTCTGGACTATAGTCGACTATAGTCTACTCTAGAGTCTGCCTAGCCTACTCTATAGTCAGATATCTCTATAGTCTACTCTATAGTAGACTATAGTGGACTATAGACCAGACTTTAGTCTACTATAGTCCTGACTATAGACTCTATAGTCAGACTATAGTCTCTCTATGAATCTTCTGAACTATGATCCAAACTATATTCCGAAACATGTTTTTTTTTTTGCTTTTGTTATTTTCGAAATCAAGCAAGAATGGTAACTCTAATTCCTTTATTCAAAATGCCTGCATTGACAATACCACTCAAATATGCATGTATGAGTAGTAATTCAACATTGCTGGCAGTTGGAGCATAGAATCTGATACAAGGATACAGAGGGATGTTGACATGACTGAAAGACATGTTTTCTTGGAAATACGAGTACAAACATTACATTTTTTATTTTTTGTTATTTTGATATAGTATTGTTGATATTTATATTCTGATTCGTTTGCTATTTGTTTGTAAGTTTGAAACTATTAACTATTTAGAGAGAGCGTATGTAATGTGAGTTTATGGTTTGATTTGCTTAACCTACTATTCCATTTCATTGCAATAGCAAATATATAAATTATATAATGGTTCGACGTAGTTTGTTTGTCTTTATATTATAAATAAAATATAGCTTAATAAGTTTTAAGTTCAATACGTGGAATGGCATCAAAAAAGGTAAGTTTGATTATTTAGTTGTACTTAACGTAGGCGTGGGTTTGTTTTTGGCATTTTTCTTATTTAGAATATGTGTAGGCTAAAGTTTTAGTAATAAATATTTACGTTTTTTAACAAATTGATTAGATAGGCAACTGAAGGCATTACACTTTAGGGAGATGAATAAAATAAAATTTTCTATAGTGTAGATTATTAAATATTCTAAAGCAGACTATACTCTATGTTCCCAAACTATAGTCTACATTAAATTCCAAACTATAGTCTAGTATAGTTCTATCTATAACATAAGTATAGTCCAAAATTTTGTCAATAGATACTCAACACTATAGTACCCTTTTACACTACAGTCTATTGAAGATACAAAACCTTTGAGACTTTAGTTTAAATGAAAATATGCTGTGGAACTTTTGTCTAACACTGTATTAATTCAAGCTAAAAAAAAAAGTAGTAACATGGAAAAAACTTTCCTAAAGAACTACTTACCATTGCACATGAAGTATTTGTAATACGAGTACAATTATTCAACTGGATATCGGTTCCATTACGACGCACGATTGAATAGATTTGAGGACAAAAACCACTGGTACGTGTTAAACACCATTCTCCGCAGAAGCCCAACTACAATGTGAGTCAGGCATATCCGATGTATAGTTTGACACATGACCGGATCCAATTCAAAACCGGATTTGAAAGCTCTTTAAACACGAAAGAAGTAAGAATAATTTTACAAAATTTTATTGAAACATGGCAGAAAATATAGATGGTTATGACCGACATTATTATACCCTACACCTGCTATAAAAAAGGACAAAAAATAATTGGTCTATTCTCAAAGAATTTACTATGACATAGACCATTCAATAGGCTAGTCCATATACAATTCATATGGTAGTCATTAGGCTAGTTCATTTACTAGTCCATAGACTAGTAAATATTATAATCCATAAACTAGTCAATAGGCTAGTCCATAGACTAGTCAGTAGGATAGTCCACAGACTAATCAATAGGCTAGTCCATAGACAAGTCAATAATCTAGTCCATAGGCTAGTCAATAGGCTAGTCCATAAACTAGTCAATAGGCTGTCCACATGCAATAGGCTAGTCCATAGACTTGTCAATAGGATAGTCCATAGAGTAGTCAGTAGGATAGTCCATAGACTAGTCATTAGGCTAGTCCATAGACTAGTCAATAATCTAGTCCATAGGCTACTCAATAGGTTAGTCCATAGACTAGTCAATAGGTTAGTCCATAGACTAGTCATTAGGCGAGACTAATTAATAGGCTAGTCCATAGACCAGTCAATAGAGTAGTCAATAGGCTAGTCCATAGACTAATCATTAGGCTTGTCCATAGATTAGTCATTATGCTTGTCCATAGACTAATTAATAGGCTAGTCCATAGACTAGTCAATAGGATAGTCCATAGACTAGTCATTAGGCTAGTCCATAAACTAGTCATTTGGCTAGTTCATAGACTAGTCAGTAGGATAGTCAATAGACTAGTTAATAGACTAGTCCATAGACTAGTCAATAGGCTAGTTCATAGATTAGTCCATAGGCTAGTACATAGACTAGTCAATAGGCTAGCCCATTGACTAGTCAATAGGATAGTCCATAAACTATTCAATAGGATAGTCCATAGACTAGTCAATAGGATAGTCCATAGACTAGCCAGTAGGACAGTTCATAGACTAGTCAATAGGCTAGTCCATAGACTAGTCATTAGGCTAGTCCATAGACTAGTCATTAGGCTAACCAATAGATAGTCCATAGTCTAGGCAATAGGATAGTCCATAGACTAGGCAATAGGATAGTCCATAGACTAGTCAATAGGATAGTCTATAGACTAGTCAACAGGAAAGTCTATAGACTAGTCAATAGGATAGTCTATAGACTAGTCAATAGGATAGTCTATAGACTAGTCAATAGGACAGTCCAGAGACTAGTAAGTAGGATAGTCCATAGACTATTCAATACGATAGTAAATAGGATATTCAATATACTAGTCCATAGACTATCCAATAGGCTAGTACATAGAAAAGCTAAAAGGCCATTCTATGGACCAGCATATAGGATAGTCCATATACTAGTCAAAAGTCTAGTCTTAAGCGACTCAGCAAATTATACATAGCATGTTGTAAGACCATTAATTTATGGGTTATAAACATCAGGTGTAGGTTATAAAAAGTTCGAATTCCAATTTGTTTCTTACTTAAATGAAGGAGCATAAATGGCCACACTTAAATACACTATAGAAACGCAGGATAAAACCATGGTCAATTGGCAAAGGCAAATAGCACGCAGATACGTTTATCTTGCTCGGGGATAAGGCGTGGTTTATCCTTGCGGCGACCCATTATTTATGATTTAAAGCTGTTTGTCGTTGCTTGGTTTGGTGTTCTGTTATCAAAACTTTAAGAATCCCTGTGTGTATTAGAGAGGGAGTGTTAGTGGGACGGGTAGATTGTTGTGTATTAGAGTTTGAGTGTTTTTTTTTTTTTTTTTTTTTGAGGGGGGAAACAGCAGCAGTGAATGTTTCCACGCTACCGAGTATTAAGTTATGTTGGTGTTTAAATTCTTGTATATTTCTTGTTTTTTTATATTATTGTATTTTTGTTTTTTTTTTTTTTT